CAGATGCTTTAACGTGGCATGCACGTTTGGCAATGCAGCAAGCCCAATTAATCTTATTGTGGTGGTAACACGATCAAGTCAGTAGTACTAAACTATCGCAGTGACTGATACGCTGCTTTCACGATGCTAAGTCCGACTAAAAAATGCGTGACACGACGGATATTCTGTCGAAACTCTGTTGTTCAGTGTAGGCGCCACCATAAGTGCGACTAGAGGGAGGCGGGATTAATTCGCCTGCTGGTCCATTACATCAGGTTGCATGTAGCACCAGCACACGAAAATGCTCCACTTCTCGGTCCTTATCCTTGTGCCTTTTTGCAGCTGTCAATGTTGCAGTCCAAGGAAGACCACACAGATATTAGATTTGATCTTGTAATCAGTGCAAATATCAAGAAGCTACTTAGTAGTTAAGGTAGCAGTAAATACAAAGGCACCCTGGAGACAGAAGGGGGAGTTTGGGTGAGACTGAAAGCTTTGAACCTGTAATCGAAAAGATTTGAACACATGCACTGCTGCGCTCACCTTCATCCTGTCAGTAATTGTCAGTCATAGGAACATCTAGAATAAACTAGGTCTGTTGAAAGGTACAAAACCTGGATAAACACCTCTGTTCTCTGTCCGGTCTACCACGAAATCCTCCTCTGACACGTGACATTCAATTCCCAGGACACGCCTTTAACGCTCAAGATAATCGAGTATGCAAAATGCCTGTTAGTTAAGCGAAAAGAAGCACTGTTGCCCTCCATTTGCCAAATATACCATGTTTTACCGAGGCGGGGTTACCTTATGAACTATCCATCGTTGCCTGTGAGAGAAAAGCCTCAAATGGCGCATTTCTAGACGATTCGCCCACTTTGCGGTTGCGTTCTGTTCCTCGCATGTTCTGCCTCACACACAAGTGCGTCGGCACCACCTTATCCTCTGTTTAAGTCTTCCTTCTCTCTGCGATGATGTAGGGAATGATGAGGTGATGTTTAGCCTTTCTGACATGTCCGATAGAGGCTAATCCATGAATGAATTGGCTCGACGACACCAAGGTGGGCATTATCCCTCTCACAGT